TTTATTTTACCCTTTAGTAAAAGAAGAAGTAGAATCATGCCCAGGGCGCCGACCTTGAAAGTATGAAGAAGTTTATTTTACCCTTTAGTAAAAGAAGAATCTGAATCGTATTCAAGGCGACGACCTTTAATACGAAGAGGCTTATTTATCAGATAAGCAACAACCTCTTTATTTGAGAGCTTATCCGTTTTGGCATATAAGTCCCTTCCAACGATAAGTGGCCATTCTCTCTCGAGAAGCTTATCAGGGCATTTCCCATTAAAGTCCATTTATTTTGGCATACAGCCGGTTTTACCCTGTATCTATTTTCTACGGATTCCTGAAAGTGCCGTTTGATCTTGTCACGAGGGATAGGTTTACAGAAGCTTGGATGTTATTCTTTTCTCAATGCTCCAGCATTCTGTTGGTCAATCCTGCAGCCGTAACGGATCCAGTTTTACGTTTTACCCTAGAGTGTCAGTCGGTCACGCCTGAACCTGTTGCACATTTTACTCTTAGGTATTCCCCAGTGGAGGTCGTCTCATCGGTTCCATCTCCATTTAGGACCCCGTTCTTGTCTTTCTCTTCCTAAAGTGACAGTTGGTCGTGTTCTCACCAGTGGGTGTAGCGGTAAAAATTGTGAGTGTAAGTTATTGACTAACTTAACTCAAAGAAAACAAGAGTCGCCACCGCACTTTTATTTTATCCAAATAAAGGAAAGGAAAAAGAGCGAACAAAACCAAAGAGTTCTAAAATAAGAACACGAGACAGAGATCGGGGTAAGGGGGTTGGTTACGCAATGGGAAGGTGTTAGCACCCAAAACGTCTATAGTACTCTATAGGAGCCCTTTGAAATATTTACGCTTTTTGGTTTGAAAGTGGTTTGTTTGAAAAGAGATTGGGGAGATGAGAAGAGAATATTTTTTTAGATTTTTGTGTTTGGAGAGACTTATCGTCTCATGCCTACGTACCCATAAAGTGCAATATGGAATCAAAACCCCGTAGTTCGTGGTACAAATGACAAAAATTTGTTGGTTTTGATTGATTTTAGATGTAAAGACAAGTCGTCATTTCAAGGAGAAAACTGCGACTATCCACCCACGAGTATTAAGACAATATCTGCGTCACATAAAGATGGAGGATTTGCTTGGATTATCAACAAGACTATCACTCAATATCAACGTGGAAAATGTCAAAGTCTTAATAATATGGGGAATAGGAGATTTACATCTCAACTATAGAAATGAATCATGTCTAAACTTTATGAAAAGTTTTAAAGTGAAAAAAGTGCATAAAGGCACAAAAAGAGTTGATGAGTTTTTGTATTTTTTATGTCTTTTGAAATTAGTCAAAGCATGATTAACATTGATTGACTTTTATTAAAAAAAACAAAGTTTAAAAATCACTTGACGAAAGTCAAGGTTTTATTGCGAAAGCGGTTTTGAAGTTTGAAACCAAGAAGGTTTTGAAAGAGGGAGAAAGTTTTGAAAATTTAAGAAGGGGAGGAGATGAAGTGACTATCCTAGAAACCAAAATAAGAGCTAGAGGTAAGAAAGATCTAACCGATTTGTAGCACACTCCATAGCAAGCAAAAAAAGAATTCCATCCGATTTAAAGCATAAGCTAATGAGCGAGCCAAATAAAGGCTAAGATCCACAATACTCCAAGCATAGGAATAAGAGTCCTAATTCTAAGTCCATAGGTCCATGAAGTCCAAGGTCTAAGAGTAGTCCAAGAGCATAACCACAAAGTTAACAACACCAAGTTTTTTTTTAGAGATTTTTTATCCTTTATTAGTGTTTTGAACAAGATATGGTCCAAGTGGACAAAAGAGAAATGTCATAAACATAAACAAAGATATGATATGAAATGATAATATGGAAGCATAAAAGTAAGAAATAAGGAGTAAGAAGAGAATATAAACAAAATTAAACAAAGATAATGTTAGTGAATTAGTGGTTAGTGGTTAGAACATATGATCAATGATGATTAATTCTTGCACTTTAGACCAAGGTTAATGAAAACTCATTAGAGGATTGATAGAATCAAAGCCTCCTAACAATGATTTTCATAGGTATTGGACTTAAGACAAGCAACTAAACATACTTGGACTTTTAAACGTAAGTTTGAGCCACGAATGATCATTTTTCGATTAAGGGACACTTTAGCGCTATGTTAAGCAATCGTAATCGGGTTTATGTAGAAACCACGACTATCTGAGGCCGGTCAATAATAATGTTAGTGTTAATACATGTTAGAGAAGTGATATGTAAATCACTCTCCTAAAACATGCCACACAAAAAGAAAAGAGGTAGTGATCTCATCACAATCAAGATTTTTAATTAATTAATCAAAGGTAATCTATCACTATTCCAAAGTAAGGAGAATTATCTCAATGATTATTCGTCCATAGATTTGAAATAATGAAGATTAAACCACCTTGATAGTCAACAATCTATGATCCATAGATTTCATCGATCAAAAATAAAAAGAAGAAGAAAGAAAATGAAATCACAATTTGAATCTCGAATCGACTAAATTATCGTCAATATCAATCACCTCTCTTGGTGGATAAAATCAACACCCAAAGTCCATTGATATTGATGAAATCTTATCAAATTTCAAAGTCCAAATCTATTTTAAGAAACTATTTATAAAAAAAATATTAGAGAAAAAGAAAATTTGAAAAAAAATTAAAGAAAAAGGGAGGTTTAAAAAAACAAAATAAGAGGATGATGATAGTAAAAGGCCACACGGCCCAAATTCTTAAAAAAAGAAATAAAAAAAAATGAAATAATTGAAAAGGAAAAAGAGAAAGAAAAACAAATCAGAATATCATCTTCTTCTTCATTTGCAACGTGCCACTATTCACGGCCATGGATGTTTCAGAGCTTTCCAGAAATTGGAGCGACGAGATGCGAAACCAACACGGTTAGATTCGAAATCAACAGCAGATTCTAAATACGCCAACAATTTCGAACGAAACTCAACTTCAGAATCAAATTTAGAACACAAGATCTCGACGAAACCGGTAACTACCTTCGAATTTTCGTGAGTAACAGTTGGATTTCTCTTCTCCTTCACGTTTCTGAAGATTTGTTGTATTGATGAAGATTTTCTGCGATTTGTGAGATACGAAAATGAGATGTGGTTTTGATGGTAATGGTTAAAGAAAAAATTGAAGGGCAATGTTGATGAATTTTCAAGGATAGTGAAGCTTGAAGGTGATTGAAGGTTGGGGTGATATTTCTGCAGAATTTTCTCGGCTGTTCAAGCTTGAGAAAATGAGAATGAAGCGCTCTCTATTTATAGAAGAGGTGAGTGATTTCAATTTGAATATTTCTTCTGCCGTTTTGATCTTTGTTTTTGCGTTTTCATTTGATGCGTTGTGCGTGCTATTTTGCTGACCAAACTTCATGTCGTTTTGCTTTTTCTCTGTAGCTCACGTGTTATTCACTTTTTGCAATTGGCTCATGGCTTAGAAACAACTTTAAAAGCTTGTGGGGTCAGCTTGGAGTGTCACAGCTGGAATTATATTAACATGGCTTGTAATGGCTTGGATAAATGATAAATTTCTGTTCACCCTATTGCAAGTGGCTTGGCTGAAAAATTGTACAGCAGTCTGGTAAAACTTTTAATATGGCTTACTTCCACTTTTTCTTGGATTTCATGTTTTAAAATCTCAGTCTGACTTTTGAATCCCCCATTACAGCTATTGTGAGACCAACTTTGGTTGATGGCTTGGATATGTGTTGTGTCTCCAATGAAATTAATCCACCTCTCATTTTTAGAAAGTTCCCCATCTCTGGCTAAAATCTTTCCCATCTCAAGGTCACCAACACATTTGCAAAATGCCTGGAATGCAGTCAGAAGATTTCGCAATGGTTCAAGGTAACCAGAGTAAGCTAACCCGTGACAACTTCCAAGTTGCAGCATTAGCTCATCAGATTTCTGCTTAGGAGTGGGAATGTTTCTATCAATATGCTCTAATATCTTCTTAGCCATCAAACTAGTATGTGTGTGTACTGTTGGAACACTGCGCTCAAAGCCCAGTGGCTTCCGAGCGCTGCTCATCCCACCAGGATCCATTCTTGTGGCAACAATAGGACTTGAACGTTCAATCAAACTGGCATTTTCTCTCTGTGAATAATTCATAGATGAATATGCTGGTCTTCGTGAAGTCGATTGCATACCAACTTTATGCCTAGTTCGACGAATAGGTCCAACGGATCCATATCCACTTGCTGATGCACCAACTTCAGATTTGTCCTTCAGATACAGACTTGTCTGTGATTGACGAAGGGGAGTTGATGAAAAGCGGCTTTCATTGCCTTGGCTATGAATCAACTTGGACTTAGACTTCATCAATAGAGTTCTGGAATAAGGAGTCCGTGCATAATTAATAAGTCCATATTTGCTTCCTTGACTTTGTGGTGTTGCATAAGCATCCTGCACGAAAGCACCTGGCCAGCATGTTGGTGACCTTTTTGATGGTGATGGATCATATGATTTTATTGCAGCTTCATCATTAAGGAGCATTGTGCTTTCAACCGTTTGAATCTTGTTCTTAGAATTGGGGCCTGCTTCAGATGCCCGGGAATCCATATATGCTCTAGCAATATCAATTGGTGAAGCACCAATTTCACCTCGGACTTTTGACATGAAAGGTGTTGAACTTCCTCGTATGGCTCCATTTGATTCTTCATGCCTTCGTTCATTGAAAACCTTTGGAACCTTGTGTGCCACTACAAGCCCCCTGTCATCTTGCCTAGGAGTCAAATTTGTGTTTCCTTGTTCAATACTAGCAACGTCAATTGCTCTTGAATTCAAAACCTCCACTAAATGATCGAATTCATCTCTGGTGAATTTTTTCCTTCTCAACAGTTGCTCGATATCTGAAAACCTATCATTCTCGTGTTGTTCTCCTTTTTCAATGTGCCTGGGCAGAGCAGTGTCAAAACTGCTATCATCACCAATACTTGCCATTTTAGACAATTCAGATGGCAGGAGATTTGAATTAGTTATGAGCAGATTATCTTTACTGTGCTGTTCATCAGCTCCCGGTTCACCTTGATCTTCGTTGGAAGAGAATAAGAAGGAAGAAACCGAGTGGCTCCACCGGCGATGATGCGATAAGCAGGATCGACTAGCTTTGAAATCCATCGGCGGTTTGCGGTTAATGAGGGACGGGTGTAAGGACTCGCTGGTGGCTTTCTCGGCGGGGGTTTTCTAAGTTTGCCGCCGGCGCCTCTAGCGTCCGATAGTGTTGACGGAAAAGCTGTGATTTGATCAGGGTTATCCATGGAATTGAGACTAAACTTAACTGAAAGAACGGCGGAAAAGTTTTAAAAGGAAAAGGAAGAAGAAGGGAAGGGAGAAAACGATGTTACCACCGGCACTAACACCAATTTTGCTGAACCAGTTACAACAAGTTTCTTTAGCAACGACACAGATATCACTGGCTTCAAAGTTTTCTGCCAAGTTGTAGAATAAAGCTCCGTCTTCAGTAAATTCTGCTTTCTGTTTTATGCCTTTCCAAACCAAGAAGATACTCGAACATGTTTTGCAATGCTTGAATCTTAAGTCGAGCATTAACATGAGAAGACAGTGTTTCCTACCGTATCTTTCCAATGTCATGTTCTAACATAAATTCAGCCATTGCAATTAGAACATATCCTAGTGCCTGCAATGATCTAACCTTAAGAGAATAATCATCCACGACAAGATACTTCATAAACAAGCTTAGGCTCCTTCTGACATCAATAAGTTTATTACCAGAGCTTGCTAGCAAACAGTTGCCATAACAAATAAGCAAACCGATACAGAAGAGAGATCGCCCAACTTGTTGTTTGTTTATAATTGCCTGGATATCAAAACATTTGAAGAAGACCTGGATAAGATGCTCAACTACATCTGCCCCCTTTCCAGCAATCTTACTCATACTGCAGAGGCATTTGATACAAGCAGGGACAAACAGCAATGGCAACACATCATCAATTATAAATGCTATACTCTTAAGTAACTGTGCAACAATGTTATTCATGCTATTGTCAACCTGAGTCTTCAGATATGGCTGCAAAGTAATGACATAAGATGGCGTGTCATCAGAAATACTTCTGTCATAAGGAAAAGAGAGCACTGTTGACACACATACGTCTGGGTCAATTGGAAAGTTTTGCTGACTTCTGGTCCATTCTTCAAATGCTTCTGAATTTACCTCTAGATTCTGACGGCACGAGCCAATCATGGACTCAATTTGTTTCATCACATTGTATATTGCCAAATCAATCTCACTGAGTATTGCACCGTAAGAATAACACAGTAGTGCAAGAAGTTCTTTTTTTTTTTGTTGATGGCAAGGCTTCATGTATTGCACGTAGCATGAACTTGCTCACGTGGACTTGATTGTTTTGCAAATTATGTTGACTTAATTAAATCTGACCCAAAATCCACACATGAGCTTTCTTCACCAATCTTTGATAAAATGAATGAACAAATCTTGGACCACTGAATATCTTACAACTAAAGAACATGTCATTTGAATCCATTTGAACTTTTCATAACTTTCTAAATCTCATAAATCACTTCTTGATAGCCTGATGAATTCTAGCACAAGACAACATGGCCTTGAACAATCACATTTTTTGAGAAAATAGCCCACCACCACGGGTAACTTATAGTTGAAGGAAACTCTTGATAGTTTGACCACGATGAGGTCAAACTTTCATCTGATTTAGACTGGAATGAACGTCCTTGCCATCAATCTTCTTGCAAAACCCTATACGCACAGAGAAGGAGAAAAAACAAGCAAATTGCAAAATATTTTTGGTATTTTGGTTAGAGGTTAGTAAACAGAAATAAACATAAAGCAAGTAGAAAACACAAATGCGCTGAGAGAACCAAAAAATATGGTCTTGTTTGTGTATGCAAAAAATGAAAATGCAATGTGGGATCTTAGGGGTAAAAATTAGGGTATTACAGCTGCCCCTATTTAAGATTCTTCTATCCAGAGATATGAAGATTGACATCTTTGTCTCGACTAGATAGAAGAGACTTAAATATAACAATAAACCCAATTTTTGGCCCTAAGAGACCACAAAATGATATCATTATGCTAATGGTATGGAAACACAAGACCTCTGTGGGGAGAAAATGCCACAGGAGTAAAACAAACACTGGAGAAAAAGAAGGAAAGAGACTCCACAACAAAAAACAAAATCCTATTCCGATAAAGGAAAGGAAACGACTCAACAGGGAAAGAGATACCAACTGCCAGTTACTGGGCGAATATAATCGATCCAAAGAGAACAGGTAAAATGCTTCTACTGGTTACTGAGTAGAAAATAAGCGTAATAAACCAAAGGGGTTGAGAATATTACCGACTACCAATCAATAGATAGCACAATAAAGGCAATATACTCAAAAGGTGAAGAAACATTACCGGATACCCAGTACTAGGTATAAAAATTTGGGTAACAAACTCACAAGGAAAGATTACCGACTACCAATTACTGGGTAGAAAAATATGTCGATAACTGACCAAAAAGGATGAGCAAAATACTCAAAAGGGTGAAGAAACATTACCGGATACCTAGTACTAGGTAGAAAATTTTGGGTAATGAACTCACAAGGAAAGATTACCGACTACCGATTACTGGGTAGAAATATATGTCGATAACTGACCAAAAAGGAGGAGACAAATGCTACCTACTACCTATCACTAGACAGAAAATAAAGGCAACAAGCTCGGGAGGAAGGATTATCTTTTACCGGTCAAATGGGTAAAGCATAACCAACCAAAAGGGGTGAGAAATATTACCAGTCAATAGAGGTAACATACTCGAAAGGTGAAGAAACATTACCGGATACCCAGTACTAGGTAGAAAAATTTAGGTAATGAACTCACAAGAAATACCTGCTACCAGCCAATAGGCAGCTCAAATCACACAACAAACTTCTCAAATAAAGAGACAACCATTTGTTGGGGTGAGTTTTATCTTGTTAGAGACATACAAGTTGCTCAAATAAAGAGACTGTCACATGAAGTCACACAAGCAATCACCAAGAGAGTGTTATCAAAACACCATTGGGGAAAATCTTCATCTTCTGATGGGAATCAATAACAGATTCCTTCCGAGGAAAGTAAATCCTCAAAAATACCTTCTCATCATCCAGGTTTCACAGCCCAGGGAAATCCAAAATAACCGCTGCAAGAGACCAAAGTTCAATCCAGGAACAAACTGGAGAGAAACGGTCAAACAAGACTCGACCCAATGAGGAAATAACTCAACAGGGGAATAATTCCATCCAGATAAAAGCTGGGGCGGAAAGCTAAACAAACATCTTCCACGAGGCATAAACTCAGTGGGGAATTAGAAAGGATAAGTATTTTCTGCTTAAGGGTCGACACTCTAATGGAGAGAGGACACACGCACTCCGCATGGATAACGATACCGGGAAAAGGGAAATACCAACAAAAAATGCAGGATGCATAATGCAACAAAAACATGCTATGCTCAACCAAAATGAATGTGCATGCAATGCATATGAGTATGAATATGCTGACAAAACAGACAAAAAAGGCAAACAGAGGGTGAACAAAACATCACAACACCACTGAAATACTCGGCTTATCTCAGCAAATTAGAGATATCATTGGAGATCGTGCTGGGGATAAGTAACAGAAAATCTTCAATCATCAATAATTCAACAAAAGGGAACAACAATATGAACTCCGCTTTGAGAAAAAAACTGTTGGAGAAAACAAAGCAACACAAATTTTCCAACTCTGCCTGGGGAATAAGAAGTTAACATCATAGCAAAAAAAGTCAAACTGTGGGGGATTTTAAATCAACACCCAATCACAAGGTGAGAGAAAACCCGACAGGTGACTGCTATATCAACACTTCTTAGAAGTAAGCAACATTGTTCTCTACTTGTGGAATAATCCAAAGTAAATATGCATAACCTCTGCTAGGAATCATTAAAGACAAGTCTCCGCATGGGCAATAACATCAAGGAGAGGTGGTCCTCAAACTACTCAACTGTCTGATCATAACCTGGCTGGATGAAGGAAACATACTCATCTGGAGAAGATTTTGAATCAAGACTTAGCTGGGAAAACCGAATAATATCCACCTGGTTATCCATAGGAACAAAACTCTACTAAGGGAATATCAACAAACCCTACTAGAGAAACCTCGATATAGCTCAAATGAGGAAACATCAACACAACTCTACTGGGGAGCTGCCAATAAATTCTACCAGAGGAGCAAGAAATAACTCTGCTGAGGAGAATAAGAATCTGATGAAGGTCATATCCTATCTTTCACAATCAGTAGTGATAAATGTGTATCGTCTGCACATGATCAACAAGGATGATACTCTGGGTACTAACAACCTTGAGAGAAAAAATTTGGACTTGGCGCCGACTGTGGGGATAATTAAGAAGTTAACATCAAAAAGTCAACCTGCAGGGAATTTTAAAACTCAACACGGGGTGAGAGAAAACCCAACAGTTGATTGCCATATCAACACTTCTTAGAAAGGAAATATGATTCAGATTGGCCATAAGAGCAAAGAATCATAACGGAGGAGGTAGAAACCTGCCAGAGATTCCTCATCAAATTTTACCATAGAACATGATGGGATCCAACAATCACATTCACCCTTAAATATGCTTGATCATAAACAGGTTAGGGAAGAAGAACCATGCTCGGCTGAGGAAATCTGAATCAAGACTTCGCAGGGGGAATCCAAGTTTAAAATGCTTGAACTAGTGCCCAACTAAGAAATGCATCAATAAGACCAAACTTTGCTTGAGAGATTGTCAACAGACTGTATCAAGGAGAACATCAACAAGGACAAACTCTAATCTGCCCCAATATCTTCAAACTCTGAGAGATTCGTCGAATCTCGACGTAACTTCCCCAGATTAACTGTAGTCGGCATATTCTTTTACTGATGGAGTATTCAAGCTTTGCCCCTGCGAAAGCATCAACTGGGAAAACAAACTTGCTCAAGCTCAACGAAGTCTTCAAGAAATATGCCCCTGGATATGATCATTCCTTGAAACGATTTGCCAATTACTCATCAGATTTTCAGGCTTCAAAAGATTATGTTCATCACTGATACGCATATGTAAGCTTCCATGATGTCAAATAATGTATGTAAGCAGAAAAATGCTTAATTCTGAGAATGATAATTCTAATGCAATTACATATGTTTTTTTTTTTTTTATTTTTTTTTTTAAACATGTCGCAAAAAAACTTGTGAACGAATCACTAGTTAAGATGTGACATTG